CGTGCTATACAACGGCTCAAGCCTCCTACCACAAAGCGTGAACTGAGGAGTGTGCTGGAGCTTCTAAACTACTACCGGGACTACGTGCCGCACAATTCAAGACTCGTGATGCCACTGACGGCACTCACAAACAAAAAAGTCCCGAACACCCTGCCATGGAACTCGGAGGCTGAGGTTGGGTTTGATTCAGTTAAGGAGGCCCTTGCGTCGATTCCTGGGTCGGAAGCACCAGACCCCAGCAAATCATTTTGTTTGGCCACGGATGCATCGGAAAAGGCAATTGGAGTTTGCCTTTCCCAAAGGATAGGTGAACATGAACAGCCAGTTGCATTCCTCAGTAAGAAATTGAGCCCGTCGCAACAAAAGTGGTCCACGATAGAACGAGAAGTGTATGCAATTGTGTGGGCGCTAGTCAGTGGGAACATGATTATTTGGCACAAAGGTCAAAATAATGATTGATCATGACCCGTTGACGTTTCTGACTCGCGCGGCTTCCTCCAGTGCTAGGCTAACGCGGTGGGCATTGGCGATCCAAAAATATGACATAGAAATTGTTCATATTAAAGGCGCACAGAACAAGGCTGCTGATGGTCTTTCGCGTCTCGGCTGATCATCGAATTCAGTGATTGTAACTGTTTAGAGGCAAGGTGACGTTTTGTCTGTTTCATACGGTTGAGTTTTTGTTGTTGTTGTTGTTGTTGTTGTTGTTGTTGCTGTTGTGTAGGCACTGAAGTAGTTTCTGTGAATTGAATGACTCCACAGGAGTTTGCATCGCACGTTTAAGTGTTATGCGTGATGTTAAGTGTGTCGAAGAGACTGATAGTTCCGGCGTGATGCGCAAATATTTTGTTTGTTGTACTAGGTATTTTTTGTTGTGTTGTTGTTGAGATGCGAGCTTGCCTCAAAGTAGTACAACTGCTTTTAGGCGTAGTTTATGTGTTGTGTAGGAATAATTTTGTAGAATAAATAAGGTAGCGTTTGTGAGGTGAGTTTGTTATAATTTTTTTTCTTGGTGCGATCCGTTGAGACTAAAATATACCTATAGTGCTGGGTCCGTCGCTTTCTTTGAATGTGTTATGCGGGGCCTGGAGGGCGCATGGAGTGGGTCTCACGTGTTGGAACAATGACCGTGTGGTGTGGTGAATTTTAAAGACAAGAACCGCAGGACTATGCATGGTGTCTGTGCCCTGTGCCAAGCGAATGCGAACTGACTGGCGCTGTGGACTTAATTCTAAGAGCGTTATTCAGTGTTGTGCAATACGAGAGTGTTTTCTGTCGGAAGACCATTTAAGAGCGCAGGTTCGGGCTTAGACTCGGGCAGACGCCTGAGGTTGCAATAAAGCGTCTCTTCATCGGACTACAGCTCTTCCTTCATGCTGCCACCGTGCACTCGAATTATCGAGGGGACCCATTCCGAACCTCAAACATCTTCCATACATAGCTAGTGTAGAAGCTAGTCGAGGAGGAGGAAATTAACTGTGACCATTACACACCGTGACAACAGGAGGAGCCAACAAGCCCTCAGGTGCTTACATCTGAGGTGTCTTGCGCGCCAAAACCACGATACAGTTATGAGAGACTCAGTAGTAGAGAGGTTAAAAAATCTGCACCATCTGGTGTTATTTGAGTACGAGTGCACTGACATGGCTTACTACACGGGCCACTAGCATTTCGCCACTATCGAAATGCGATTGCCGCATCCGATGCTAGGCTCTATACTCCGTTTCATACAACATGTGCAACGCTGTCAAAGCTAGCGCTCTTGTTTGCGCTGTGTACTGCCGCGACCAAAAAGTAGTGCGTCGCTTGCGGTGTACGAGAATCAATAAATGCTTCTCGGGAAACTTCTAAGCATACATATTTGTCATCAGGTTAAAAAACAAACGCCTGTGTTGTCGGATAAACAATCCAAATATGCGAGTTGGTAATTTATGTTTGTCGCTTTCGTATCAGGTTTTCGCTCTCCGCGCGACCCACGCCGCCGTTTTTTTTTTACTTGTTGTGGCAGCTTCGAAAAAATGGCGTCCAGCTCTGTGTCCTCGACCACCTCTCCTGAGCGAATTTTTTTGAAGCTTCGCACATCAAAGCTGTCAACGTGCAGTTCACTTCCGCGTGCAAGTAAGTTGAAGTTACTGAAAAAAAAAAACAAGATTTCGAATTGAACTCGCAAAAATTATAAAAAAATGGCACCACGTGGATTCGAACCCATGCACTTCAAAACTACGGTGAACTCTCCGGAGCGACGCGTCAGACCACTCGGCTACGAAACCGCGCGGAGCGACACCTCGTGTTTTCTTTACGGACTACTTGCCTAGCCTTCACAGCGTTGTACCTGATGCATGAAACGGAGTATAGATTCGCGTGTTCGATTAAACCGACTGTGCCGGCCGCATTTCTACGGAGCCGAAAAGGAAAAACTTAGTGTCCCCAGACGTCCTACACGAGTCACAGGTGAGAGCCATCTGGTGTGTCTATATTCATCCCGCAATAACAACCGTGAACTTACATACAGGTACGTGCCTTGCGAATAAGACCAGGCCTTCATTATTATTCCATAGTCTTCCTCCATGAGTACATCATTACCACAACCTCGTTAACGCTTAAAACTGTGGTGGGCGCTATTACTAAGCCATTTCACAAGTTCAAACCGTTAGTGCACAACCACGGCCGCCTGGATCGGGCACGCTCGGCGCGGCCCGCCCAGGCGGTGATGGTACAACATAAACTGAAGGTGTTACACAAGACTGCGTCAGTCATATGCTATTTTATCATTGACAATACGCTACCGCCAGCGCAAGTCTTACACTCTTCTGCACGCTTCATTGTGTTCGCTTCTTATCGCCAGTCTCCTCAAGGATTCCCGACTTCCGTGGCCTCCTTTAAAGGCTAGAATGGCCATGGCGCACAACCGCTGGTGAGGAGTCTGACGAAGGCAGTTTTTAATCAATAAAAAATTGGCAGATCCCAAGTACAGTGGGAATCAATGACATGCGAAGCACGAATGAAGAAGGGTGATATGTCACTTTGAAGTCAGCACGACGTTACGAGGCGGCGGCAAATTATGGCGTATATGACTTCCATGTAATGACTATCACGTTTGGACGTGTCATTTACCTGTATATGTGAAGCTAGCGAAACAGCCCCGAGCGTGCTGTGAGCGTAGCTTGTAGTCACATTTTACATGACACGCATGCCATGATTATCATGTTTGGACGTATCATTTGCACTCGTCATCTATTCATGTCACGTGATACTAAATTTAGTATATGGGTTACTAGTGAAACGGCCGCGAGCAAGCTATGAGCGTAGCATGTGGTCACGTTTTACATGCCATGCATATCATGATTATCATGTTCGGACAATTCATTTACCTTCGTCGTCTATTCACGTCATGCAATACCAAATTTGGTATACGTGGAGCTAGCGAAACAGCGGCGAGCGCATGTAGCGTTGATGCACGCGCACGCTGGGCGCAGCGACGCTGCGCTAGCAGAACTCGAGCACTCTATAATCTGACGCGAGGCGCGATCAGCGTCTGTCAGCGAAACCCGGCGGCAACCGGCGCGGAATGCGGCACGCTGCATTTCGCGCCGACGACATCACCCAGACGGCACCGCGTCTGCCTAGCTTCGTGACAGAGGGACGCTGGGCGTGCTCAAACTTGCATGCGTCAAAGTAACGCAGCGCGACACGTACCTGCGAGCATATATATGCCAGGCAGATCGGCGGCTAGCGTGGCATTGCCGGCGTTACTCGACGAAACGAACGCCGGCGCGAAGGCGCGCCGGGTCACGTCGAAGTGTATTGGCACCTAGAGTTGGGCATGTAGTCATGTTGGTATATGACACGCATGTCATTGTCATCATGTTTGAACATGTAATTTACATGTGTCATCCATTCGCGTGACGTAATGCCGAATTCGGTACATGTGAAGCTAGCGAAACAGCCAAGAGCGCATCATGAGTGTAGCTTGTAAATGGTGTTATACGACACGCATCTCATCATTATCATGTTTGCACCAGTCACATACCTTCGTCATCTATTCACGTCCCGTAATACCAAATTTGGTGTATGTGAAGCTAGCGAGACGGCCGCGAGCGCATCATGAGTTTGGCGTGTAGTCATGTTTCATGACTTGCATGACATGCATGTCATGATTTACACGTTAGGGTCTCTCACTAGCGTTCGCCATGCAGTCAAGTCATACCATGCCAACTATGCAACATGTCAAGTGAACGAAACCACCGCAAGAGCAGCAAGACCATTAAATGTAAATCATGACATTCATGACGTTCATGTCATGATAGTCATGTTACGACTACTCAGTTATGCTCGCTATACAGTCATGTTATGCCAAACCAAATTTGGTATTGATACCATTAACTAAAGTGCCAGGAGAGCTAAATGTCGTTGGCGGCTAGATAGATAGATAGATATATAGATAGCCCCACTGCGGTGGTCTAGTGGCTAAGGTACTCGGCTGCTGACACGCAGATAGATAGATAGATAGATAGATAGATAGATAGATAGATAGATAGATAGATAGATAGATAGATAGATAGATAGATAGATAGATACGCTGAAAGTCGCCGAATTCGCTGAGAAATGCTTTGCATAAAAAATCAACGTACCTAAAGTACCCCGGGCACGCTCATGATCGATCAAGCATCGACGGTCATATTCACACCTTATAATCGCATCCTGACTCTCAAGCGAAACTTCAGTGAGTATAATTAATAAGACATTTCATATTTTTAAACCGTAAGCGTAAAATATGAACTGGATCGAGCCGTTACTTCCATTACACAAGATTGCGTCAGCCATGCTAAAATTCCGTTATTGCGAATATGTTACTGCCTACGCATGTGCTTCACTGTTACACACAGTTCATAAAATTTGTTTCTTTTCGCTTATCTAAGCTGCACTGTTCTGCTGGAAAACTGTTGACTTCAATGCTCAGCCATGCGGTCGGCTATATCACCTCTGGGCGTTCTCGTCAGCTACTGCAGCGGTAGCAGTATAGCCGCAGTTGCAGTCACATTAGCAGCCGCCACAGCAGCATCAGCCGCCGCGGTAGCAGCAGCGTTCGGCTCGTTCTTCTTTTCCACCTTCTCCTTGAGACTCTGCAGACGTTTCAGAAGCGTCTTGTACTCCGCTGTTCTGTACACGTTGTGGAATGCTTCCCAGAGTTGCGTGCCCGTCTGATCAAGCCGTGCCTTCACTGCGTCTTCGTACTTGCTGTATGACTCGAGAAACGACTCGAGTATGATCTTCCTGAATGAGGGCGGACACTTGGCATCCTCTCTGAGGGCAGCATCCACCTGGTCGCACACGGCCACCCGGATCGTCTCGTGCTCGACGTAGAGGTTGTATCTCTGACTGTCGCCCTTTGTCTTTTCCGCCTTGAAGATGTCGAAGAATGGGTTCTCGCTCAGCAACGACTGGATGGAGACGAGCGTGCTCAACAGGGACTGCGCGGGGCTCCAATCGGACCTTATCCCTGCCGTGCCGAGGGTAGTTACGCACACCTTGCCGCAGTTGTAGAGGTGTATGTGGAATCGAACCCTGCCTTCGTCCGTGTTAAGGAATCGCACGCGGGGTGGGCTCAGCGGGTAGTTTGGCGGAAATTTGAGGAAGAACTGGAAGAATCCGCCTTCGTACGGCGAACCGGGCGCTCCCAGCATGAGAATGTTGACTTGTGTGACGTCGGCCTCCACGGGTGAGATGTAGAGTCTTGCCGGTGGCTGCGCATTGAATTCCACAATGTCCTTCTTCACTCTGAGCAAGGACATCGGCGTCGGCTCTTCGTGGACGAAATTTGTCGGGTCCCAGTGAGCGGCCATCTCTGTTTTCGAGGGATTGGTGGGAACGAGCGAGGGAGACCGGCAAATTTAAGTGAGATGCTGCATGGTTACACGCCCCCGCCAATGGCTTAAGCCAGCTGCGCCCGTCCGACGTGGAGCGCCCAGACCGCGCTTCACGCTATAGCTGTTCGGACGGTGCGTGGTGTTGTGGCTGAACCCACTATGCGGGATCAGTCATGCACGGAGCAGTAACGAAAAAATGGGAAAATGGTAAAGTTTTAAAGGAATATATATTACAATTAGGGACATGCTTGCAATGTTCAGTAATGAAGAATTATAATAAAGAATTTTAATACAACAGTTTGTAATGGCTGCTTCAAATATGTCGTCTTCGTTACCGACCACCAGTTTTCTGTTTTCGCGAGCTCTTGAAATTACGCGCTAAATACCTACCACTCGCTTTTAGAAATGGATGGAAGGATGAAGGGATAGTAGGGTATATTTTTAGAGACTAACACGCAGCGGGCTGCTCCCACGTTGAGGCGGGCAGGCTGAGCTGGACAGAATGCGCTTAAGCACGTCGCGGGCCGCTCCCACGTCGGAACAAAAAGGCCAAGTGCGTCGTGTGCTCCTTGGACTACTAATAACTAATCGACATGTAGTGCTGACTCGGCGAGTTGGTGCATGATACTGCTTTAGCGCAGCTCAGTTTTAGCGCGAACAAAAGATGCTATATATGCATTCAAGAAGGGTAAAAACAGACACCATTGTGAGCGCTACATAACTGTTCGAGTCCGGAGCTGGTCATGGCAGCCTCTCAATTAGACGGCGTGACGACCTTGCCACAGTCACCTCCAGAGCATGTGGGCACCTCCAGAGCATGTGTTCCAAGTCAGTTATATCCGCGCGTAAGAAACATGTATTAGTTGGCTATATTTCGGAATATATCTCGAATAGCACGGGGTTAGGGAACGCCCCGAGTGAAAGTAACCTGAGAGTCGGAACTTGAGGTCTGCTTGATTTCCTGTTTTGTCAATTAGTTATACGAGGTGGGAGGATCCCGATCCTCCAAAAACCTCAGCGCCGTGCCCACCTGTAGCTACGTGGTTTACTAGTCCTCCCGCAGCTATACATGTACCCTATCACACTCGTTCAGATCGGGCGGGGATCCTTCAATTCGTGCCATGTGAGCTGGGAACAATTAAAACGAATGTGTATACGTGGCTCGATCTCCTTGTCCCGAAGGATCCGCAAAGCCTGTTCCGAGATGGTGCCCTCGGCTAATGTTTTGACCACCGACCTCACGTCCCTGTAAATTATGGACCTCCGGTTGGTCAGCAACAAACCCTCTTGATATCCACCTAGCGCAACGGCAAAATAATATTTTCGTTTGTTATAGCTGTTGCAGACTGTCTGCCTTGGTCGGTAGTTTTGAGGAGGGGCGTCACATGTGTATGCATATGGTGAAAAAAAAGGTCGACGGGCCTGTGGTTTACCAAAATAAAAATACTTATCATCATATTACCGCTCACAGTGCTCGATTAGTGACATCAGCAGCATTTTATGACAGAGTTGAAAAGTGTAATAGGGCCGCGAAACCCAACGCGCACGAGACACGTTACATCGCACACGCCCTTATATATATGAAAGGTGTGTCGAAAAAGTAACGCCAATGAGTCGATTTAAAAAGATGAATTGATCATATCAGCACAACAGAATTAACGATTTCAAAATAGGCTCCTCCTGTGACGATACATACCTTCCGGTGTGGATTTCCAAGTATCGAATGCGTAGCGGTATGCTTTCTCCCGAATGGTCATTAAAGCCTTGGTGCTCTTTTTGATTTTTTCTACTGCCCCGAAATAACGACCTTTCGTAGGAGTTTTTCAGAGAGGAAACAAAAGGAAGCCTGGAGGTGCCTTATCAGGACTGTAGGGCGCTGCATAACCATTGACGCTTTTGAACCATTGACACATTGACTCCAAGGCATTCGGCCAAAATGAAGGCGGTGTGGACTGGCTTGTTGCCATCAGTGATGGTCGTTGACAGCCATGCATCTAGCTCGGGCTTCATCACTGAGCTCTCTACGGTCTCCTAAAGAAGCCTTAAGCTGCCAGCACATTTGACGTTATGACTAACAACTATCACCAAAGGAAACTTTTCGTAGTTCCCTCATCATTGGAAAAGTTCTGCTTCGGACTTGTGGAGAGAGAGAGAAACAACTTTATTAATGGCACAAAGAGGTTGGTGAAACTAGCTTGCTGCTGGTTCTAAAGGTTGTGGCCGGTAACTCGCCACAACCTTTTCGGCCAACATAATCACTTCTGCCTGAATACTGTGATCAGTTGATGACATGAGTGACTCGTGCACGAATTGAGAAAGGAAGCTGGCATAATTGTTTTTGGAGGTTGGTTCCTCTCGCATACCCAAGAAATGTGATTTTGGGTAGCCTCCAGGCTGCCGCAATGTCGGCAGTGTGGTCAGTAAATAGTTCCCAGATAAATTTTTAAATAGGTGATGAGGGCTGGGAAAAGAATCTGTTTTAATTTGCCTCCACTTCATAGCCTGTTCTCTTGTGAAGTCTGCATGCGGAGGCGCGCATGCTCTCTATAAAATGCTGCAATTTCAATATATATGGTGATTCCTTTCTGTGGAAAATCCAGGGTTGAGGGGTCCACCTCCAGGTTGATAAAACTCGGTGGACCTCGTGATTTCCTGGATTTCGCGGAGTTTCGTGCAAGAATTGATGGTGACCATTTGTTCCAACGAGCGCTGCATTGTAGATTGCAGGACAAACGAGAACGAGTTTCATGGAAAAGCCTCCTTTTACTCTCCGGACGGCAGCATACGACAGTGCGATCACACGTGCGCAAGCCGACTTGTCCCTCCACCAATATTGAGCTGTCCTCACCAGTTGTGAGGCGTAGACGCTTTGCAACAAATTATGAAAGGTATCGAGAAAACAATAAACACATGCCTGTTACATTATTTGACTATCATTTTCTGGACGAATACATAAATACTGTACAAATTTGGCGTAATACCAGTGCAAAAGCCACAATATTCATCATATATATTGCAAATTCCTTCACATTGTGACCACGGAGCAGAACCCCCGCGTTTAATTAACACGAAACGTGCTCTGCAGCGCTCCCTCATTGCGTACCACTACCACCAACGCGCTTAGCCAAGTATGGCGTCTACGCAAACAAATCCATGTATACCGTAGCCGTGCGTGGTAAGGGGGCGGGAAAGGAAACTGGGCGTGTGCAGGACAGCAGAAAGGTGAGGTGAGGGTACAGCATTGCATATTGTTAAGCAGTCAGAAAGAAGCGTGTATAGCGCAGCCACCTGTAGCTATGTGTAGGAAGGGGGCGGGAAAGGGAAGTGTGGGTGAGAAGAAAGGAATGGAGCAATGTAGTATACATGCTCCCATCGTATGCTGTCATCTCATGTCATCGCTTGGCGCCACGCAGAGAAAACTACATAGCATGGAAAATTATAGCTACGTCGTTGGAAAGGAAAGTCAGGCTGAGGAGGAGGGGAGAGGGAAGCATAGCAGGGTATAACACTCCGATGAAAAAGTGAAATGACGGTGGCGGGGAGTTATATCCTAAATTCCTTTTCCACCATGGAGGCCATGCAGGTCACACGGTTGAAGTGTCAGAGCATGCTTGCCCCTGCACACGAGGGTTCACGAGCAGTACGCAGGTCCTTCAGCGACCCTAATAGGCTGCATTCGTCCAGTGTACTTATGCTATGGGGTATCGTCCCAAGCGCAGTTTGGGTTCGCATGGTCATCTCTAACACACGCTTCTCGAGTTCATCGCTTTAGGACAGGCGATTCACTGCCAAGCACTTCCCACCGCTTTCACGTTGAATGCAGCTGCATAAGTTGTTGTGCCAACATGAATATAGCTGAAAGCTTTTCAGCAGCGTTCACCACGTTGAGTTTTGTAATACTGCGCGTGAATTGAATCAAGTTAAAACGCAGATGCCGAGTGCCCGAGCCAAATGTGACCGAATTATCGCAATTTCAACGCCACTAAAGGCATATATATATATATATATATATATATATATATATATATATATATATATATATATATATATATATATATATATATATATATATATATATATATGTATATATATATATATGTGTGTGTGTGTGTGTGTGTGTGTGTGTGTTTGTGTGTGTGTGTATAATAACAACGACCCCATGAATATACACTTCTTCATTCCTTAATTCACCTAATTCATTAGCAAATGTCTCGTACTGGCAGACTTAGTGCCTTTAGGTTTTATATGAGGGATTATTAGTCAGCTGCCAGCTCGTAATAGGTTCCCGTGATACGTGACGCCAAACAGGCTTATAAAGAGTGTGTCACACTGGCCGCCATGGGTACTGGTGGCACTGGCTGACACTTCCACGCGTAGTTCGCATATATAATTCACATATAAAATTGTAACCAAGCTTGATATAAAGTCTCACAGAAACACCGCCACAAAATGGCCCTTTTCCGGGTAGGTAGTATACTAATGTGCGCCGGCATTGAGGAGGCACGCGCCATAATTTTTGGTGGCTGAAACAGCGGACGATGTGACACCTGGTGCCACAAACAAGCAAATGTTTCCCCAACAAGAAGCACGAACACAGGCCTCCAAGATTGCCTACCAGCTTGCAGCAAACAGTTTCGGAGTCCAAGAGGCACCGCTTTTGATTTCGGCGAGCTCCACTTGGGGCGCTTTTTGGATTAGGAAAAGGCCCATTACAGAGCACAGCATGCAGCACTAAGTTCAACATGAATGTAACAGCACATCCCTGGAGCATTCAATTATTTAGTGAAGAGTCCGGCGAAACTTTGTCTGGTCACGTATCATGATGAGTATGCATATACGGTCACTGACAAAGTTTCGTTTTATCATTTAGTTACACTCATCAGCTGAAAGTTCAACAAATGGTCAGAAGCTGGAGTTAGCTTTCACCTTTAAACATTCATAAAGTGCCAAGCATAGCCGAACCTTCTTTTAGTGTT